AGTCATTGAGTTAATATTTGTTGGTCTTTATTTTTCCAACTACCATAAATTGGTTAAATATATTCTGAGATCATTATTCAGTGTTATCAGTGGATAGCTAACTCATCATCAATGAGATGGATTCGTTTATTTACATTTCATTGTAAATAGGTGGTTGAATGTAATCAACAGGAAATTATTGCCTAACCCAGGTTTTGAGCCATTTGGCGATACTCGTCAGCAAGACCTACTTGTAATCTTGAGGTAATCGATGTTTTCTATGAGATCCGCGCCACTCAATTCCACAATTTGGGAAGTTACCTTTTAGTGATTAAGGTAGAGACTGACTTCTTATAGCACTGAGATACTTAAAAATGATTGATTACTGAGTAGTGAACAATATCATTTTATAAATAAATATTTGTAGTATCCCGATGAGTAGATATTACTAATATATTATTTATTCATGACAATCCACCCAATGTTCAATTTATTCGAAAGTATCAAGTCACACATTGATAATGATGTCTACAAATATCATTTTAGTCCAATCCTTTGATGGTGATAGAATTCTGTCGGTCAAGTTTTAGTGTGACCAATAGTCTAAGTGGCTTGATATCTTATTCATTATGTCAGGATGTTAGGCATTTCAAACCCTTCTGAAGGAACCAATTCTTCAAAATTTCAGGTATGTCTCGCTGATGAATGCCATCAGAGTTTCTTATTGGTTACTCCCAACCACCACCTTACATCTAAACGTAGTGCACACGATGTCGAGTCACTTAAACTAGTGACCACATTGTAACTTCATCGATAGAATTCAATCATCACTAAAGAGTGAATAAACATGAAACTGTTCACCACTTAGCGGTAAATCAATTGTGAGTTCAATTTTTCCTAGAATTAGGATAAGTATTACATAAAATCACCAGGAAAATAATTGTTATTTTTCTAGTTTTTCTCATAAATGATAATTGTTTGTATATATCTCTAAATGAGTGAATATTAGTATTTGACCTGAGTACATTCCTTTAGTTCTCCACCCCCTTTAAAACTCTTAGTTACCAAGTGAAAATGAAAAGAATTATGTTATTATTACAAGTCATAATGACCTTATTTAACCTGTCACTTTGCAATGAAAAAATGTTTATTCACATAGTTATTGTTGTTGTTGTTACAGATTGTTGATGTGACTGATAACGATGGTCATTGTTTACTTAAATTATTATTATTTACTTTTTATCCTTCGCTCTCTCTCTTTTTTTCTTTTCTATCAACGACATCACTATCATTAACGTCTTATCTAATCGCTTTTAAAAACTACCCATAATGTATGCATGTGCATACTCATATATATGTCTATTGATTGATTGATTTTACCGCTAAAATTCAACGTCCTAACAATTTTTCAACGAATGGGACCTATGAAATTCTTATCCATTTGTAACTAATTTATTTTATAGACCAGATGTCTTATTATCAATTATGTAAAATAGAAAAGAAAAAAAGGGGCAGTATACATTTGAATTTGGCACGTTTATTGACAACAAAAAAAAATAAAGATCGTTGACACCTGCTCAGCTGTAACACAGCTGATGGTGACGATCATGATTAAGTAATAATAATAATGATTTATGATCTATGCATAGTTTGAAGAAGAATCACTTCTAGTCTGTTTTTCCTGATTTTAGGACAGAAAAATTTTTTTTCCTGTTACTCAGTTAAGCAGAAGTTATTTCGAATTAGTTTACATAATACATTTGAATTTATTATGAAATTTCTTAAAATGAGGTTAAGTAGTTTCGATGTCATTTCAATTGAACATTGACATTAGATATGAAGAAAAAAAAGTTTATTTTTTAGAATCAATCAATAGGTAAACTGTTCTTTTTTCTTTCTTCTTTGTTATTCAACAGTAGTTAACTGAAATTACATTGTGATCTAACAAGAAACATTTAATCTGTTAAATAACTTTTGTAAGTAGTTAGTTTCTCAGTGAGGGGTAACAGGCGTAAGTAAGAGATTGACCAGTTTCAGCCCTAAACATCAATCGGAAGATTCAAACAAACAACAAGAAGTAAATTTAAACTTTACCCCATTGCATAAGCAGGTGGCTATCAGGACTCAGTAGCTGAGTGGATAACACGATGGCGTTTGAAGCGAAAGGTACTGGGTTCGAGTTTCAGAGTGAACATCAACTCTGAGGTGCAGGTACATCCAGCTGACGAATCTCAAATAGAATGAAACGCGCGTCAAACTGGATTCCACTGTTATCCACTATCCATCTTCGCTTATAATACTTGTGAATTAAGGCTATATCGAGGCAGTACGCACATATGCCAATTAGAGACTGACTAATTGCAGTCCTAAAAATCAATGGGAAGATTCAATCAAACAATACCAAGTGAATTCAACGTGTTATTCAGTTTAATTTAATTTAGCCTTTTATCAATCTGAATAAATCACTATGAAAATCAGTACATTGAAATATCGCTTATGATATAATTCCAGTGTCTAATATCTCTTCATTTACTGTCTTTATTTTCTTATTTGTATTGTACATAGTTTTCTAATAACAAGTAGTAGATTCTCACAACTATAACAGTATGTATATGGGAGTAATATAAATAGTGATAAAGCCAGGTAAAATGTCCCTTTATATCTGTTAATTTGATAGTGCATTTTGTATATATATCATCCAACTTCGACATATATTCAGTGATTAAGCTGTACACATTATGCAATCCCCTTCATCATTTACTGAAATATCTTTGCTTGTTAAATTTCACAAGTCAGTTTGAACTGTAAAACCTTGATTAATATCATTATAACAGCATGTCTTAATGTTGAAATTTATTCGGTTTTACCAGTACTGTATTTATTATGTGCTGTTCCATTGGTTTCTACACTGATCAGATTTTCCCAAAGCTATTTAGGATTTCATTTGGTATTTCTTCCTTCTGCTTCTTCGGTTGACTGTATTTTACTGGTCATATAACATATTTTACCCTGTGATTTCTTTCTTAAATCGTCAGGGGTATAATAATGCTCATGAATTCTGATACAATATATTTTGTAGATCGATAAGTACCTGTCAGCCATTATCATCGTTGGTATGTAGATTATCTGTGAACACTTCATACGTCGAACATTTAAAATTATCGAATTTAGTAGTGTAAAAATGAATTTATTCATACTCAGAACTTACAGAATTTGATATTAAGTGGTTTAAGTTAGTATTCAGAAAAATCTGTATATTGATTTCATGACGGCTGATATTAATTAACAAGGCGTATTTGGTCTGGAGCGAACTACTGATACTGTCTACAGTGTTAAAACCTGTAACAGCTAATGTTGCAACCATCACCTAAGAATTATTCGACCATTGAACAAAAGCAAATAACTTACACCATACTATGTGACATTTTGCATTGTAATATAGATTACAATCTGAAGAATATACGACCATACCATTCACATTACCTATATGTTATTAATAGAATCAGGCAGATCATTTATGATGTGAACCTGGGATGATTAGGGATATTTGAATAAACTAAGAATCCCAGAAATAACGCAATTTAATTGAGAAGAACTGGATGAGCACAAACGAACGTATTGTATTTGGAATTCGAAACCAGGCAGTTATTAAGTACAAATGAATCACTAGTTCATACAAACACCACAGAAACCCACTCTACTAACTTACCATCTAACTAGCTTTTATCCTAACACAACGGATTCGTCAAAATTCAAACTAGAAATGTGATTAAAAGAGAGGAAAACTATTCAAAGGGTAACTTAATGCTTTAAATATATCACCGAGAGAAGGTATTCAAGGATGTTTTCCCAAAAATGGTCACTGGAATGCATTACTTCTAAATCATGTTTTTCTGGGTACAAGGTATATAGGATGTAGCTTGCTTTCAACTTGAATACGAGAATATGTCCCAGTGTGATCCTACAAGGGTGAGAGGAAAGCAGTTAGAAATTCCATTCTTGAACACTTAATCGTCCTACTGATGCACATGTTGATTTTAAGGTTGAAATCATGAGTAAATTGAAGCTAGACCACCATCGAAAACCTGGAAGCACTACTTCAAGGCCGTTTCGTCCTATTGTGGGACTCCTCAGCAGTGAGCATCCACGATCCCGCACTCGCGAGATTCGAACCCAGGACCTGTCAGTCTCGAGCCGAAGCCCTTAACCGATAGACCACTGAGTCGGCATCCAACGGTGTTAATGTCTAACTTCAACCAACCCACGATTTTGAGCGACCGTTCACCAATTGTCTTCAGTGAGTTGATATCTCTACAACAGACTTGGTAGAACTCCACTGCTTCCCACTAGAACTCAAGAAAATATCTCTTGAATTCAGTCACTAGCGAGCATATGATTATAGATCAGAGGGGGTCTTGTGGAGAATTTAGTATTTTCACTGTTGAAATCATGAGTCAATTGAAGTTAGACCACCATCGAAAACCTGGAAGCATTGGACTTACTTACTTTATTTACACTATAATCAGTTGCCAACTTCTTAATTTTACAAGGCTTTTTATTTGCACACACGCACAATCTGTTATTGTTAACATCCATATGACGCAATCTAGTATTATAATCTTCTTACTACATTATCACGTTTAGCTTCTTTTTCTTGTTTGAAATCCCTAAGCCCTGGACTTCTACGAACTTTCAAGGGTTTTACAAAGGGATTGTTATCTTTCAACTTTCTCTTTACGGGAAATATTCTAAATTTTTTTGAAGTTAGCCTGGTCGTATGTTGTAGCTGACTTGATAGTCACAATCGGTAAAGAGCCTGAAATATGCGTCATCGTGGCAAAACGAGTTACAACGATAGTAGTCCCGATAATAGTGAGACTAGAAATTGAGGATATGGTTCGGAAAGGAATGAAAAAACCTACAGTGAGATAAAAGATGAGTACGCCTGAACCATTGTTACCAATTCCGAGCCAAGTTACTCAACATCCTTAACCACTGGTACTGATTATAACACGGACCCTAACCACGTGTATTCCGTGCCTACCAACATAGCTAAGTTCAATATTTAACAACTTCATGGGCTAATGTATCTGGTTCTTTAACAACCTATTCCTATTTCAGACAATACTGCGACTTCAAGTAAACGGTAGCCAAGAATATGTAAAACGTAATTGTAATTTTTTTTTAGAAAGAAACAAGGTTTCGAAATATCTCGGAGATAAATTTTATTAAAAAAGCGACGACTAATTTTGCTGGATGCAACAAAATGATAAGATTCAAATGAAAAACATATCTTTATAAATAATTATACAATTTTTTGTACAAATATAGGAACTGTAAAAATGTCAATAAAAAGGCATAGTTATTTCACTCTCATTTTTATTTGACGCGAATGGGCAGGAGAATTGGGTGTATCATTGAAAAATGGAGTATCCACAGGACGAGTTTTTAAACGAGACCTTTTATCATCTTTATGTGATGGATCAGAATGTTTGGAAATTCTATCCGATGGCATTTTAGAGTGTTTCGATGAAGTATGCTGGTGATGCTCGTGATGATGACGATCGCTATGTGACTTCTTTTGTAATTTATGCCTGTCTTTAGAATGTTTCCTTTTTTTACGATGCTTTTCATCATTTGAACAACTTGACTCTGATTCACTACTACTACTACCATCACTAGAAGATGAACTTGAAGAAGACGACGAAGATGAAATTGATATATCACCTAAGACGGATGACGGTAATTTATTTTTGGATTCAGATTCTTTTTTCGCCAACGCTGAATCACGTGATGCTTGTAAATGTTCACGAAGGTCTAAGGTTAAACCGCCTAAACCAATTGTGGTTAAAAAATTAATAGCAAATCGCGTATCTTTAGGATTATCACGTGGTAGAAGACCGGCAAAAAATGGCTGAAGTGTTTCATCACGAAGTCTTGATTGTAACTTCGATAAGCCCATAAATGAACAAAGTTCCAGAAAAAGATGTTTGAGAAATATACGTCCAGAAGAAGTCGTATCACGTTCATTCAAGCGTACACATTCAAATACACCCCATGATATAGAATCAGAGTATAAAAGATGAGCAAACAAGAAAGCAACATTACGTAATTTTGCAGTTTCCAATCTATGAATAATTGAGTATTGTTCAGAGAAAATCTTTTCAAACTGAGCAACATAACTACGGGGTGGACCTGATTCTTCTACAACCGGTGCAGGAGTTTCTTCTTTTGCTGTAGGCTTACTGACCTCTTTATTACTTCTATATCGGCTACCGGGACCTAAGTCAGAGCTTACAGAAACAGTAGTAGATCCCGTGTTGGATGGGGTACTAGATGGAAAGACAACTCGGCAAAGTCTTTGTGCTAATCGACCATAACGGCTTTCATAACTACGTGTTTGAGCACAACAATCTAAAACCATAGAAGCCACTTCATACTCTTCTCCAGGTTTGATTTTCAACTGTAGCAGACGATGTCCAGCTTCATCTGCACTTAAACTACTTTGCAACATTAAGTAGATGGTACGACGTAGATGGACTAGATTTGTTTCTGTTTGATCAATAATTGTTTGTTGGTTCTCTGCAGTTGCAGCGGCACTACGTTTATGTTCTTCATCCTCTTCATCATCGTTATCATCTTCATTACCTGATTCGTCTGAATTTTCACCTTCATTATCACCATCTGACTCAGCTTCTGAATCTTCATTCGATTCAAATAATGCTTCTCTAATTTCAGCATATTTTGCTTCATTTGCCAAGAACTCTGGATCGAATTTAAACACATTCAAATGTTCTTCTGGATCTACTTGATCAAGAAGTGAAGTTGTATGAGTGATTTGATCACTTTCTTGAATTAAATCAAGTTCTGGCAAGACAATTGGATGATCTTTCCATCCATCACGACGAATCTGTAAGAAAATATTCATGTAAGACAATATAATATCAAATAAGAGATTTTTTATCACTGAAAAATCTATTTCTTTATCAAGATACTCATTTAACTTAATTGCAAAAATTCACTTATATTTTTAAAATAATCGTCCTCAGTTTTGAGTAGTCAAAGAGAGAGAATGTATAGCTAAACAATTTAGTATTATGTGTCCATATAACTTAAAACCATATCTACAAGAAAGTTTCCTAAGGCTAAGAACTAAGCAAATTATTATGGAAAGATTGGTGTGTTGTATTTGAGGGTTCAATCTAGTCACTAAATATAGACTCCTAAAAACTTGACCAACAAAACATGGGGTGGGAGGAGACGAAGAATATAAGAAGATTTACAGTCAAAGTCGAACAATAGTAAACACAACTTAAGTGTATGATATAAGTTACCAGGCTGAAGAAGATAGACATGTTAGCCTTGGCCATGGTCAGGTAAGTAGTCCGCTTACTCACAATAACCTGTCCACAATTTCGTCTCTCACTTATCATTTAGCCTTGGAACAACACGTGACTCGGTCAAGTTTGGCATTTATATCATTACAAAGCTATATTTCCCTGTCCAAATCACGGTTAATGGATTCATGACATCATTTACAATAATTATGAATAGTCTGGTACAAATCAACGGTATTAAAACACGTATAGGAAATATTTCTAAAAATATCAGCCAAAGCAACTGACTTATCAGTTGATATTCATTCAAAGGTGAATTCACATCCAAGAAGCCAACAAATACAATGTTAAATCTCATAACGAATGTTAGCGTATAACTGTTATTGTTTATTGCGCTATACTACTTGTCGTTATTTAGTAGTTAATGTTATACTCAACCATTTCCATGACTTAAATGTTGAAACGATTATCTTTCTGTAACAACGAACTACCACCAATCGAAATAATTGGTAATCTTATTTCTATAATTTAGCTCATTTTACCACTTCTAATAATATTTTTTCCTACTTTTGCAGTTCGATCTATATTTGTTTGCAACTCCTTGAAACTTCGTGTCTTGAATGGTCTGTTCTATTTTTGAAACACACATGAATCATTGTTACTTGTTTGAAGCAACCGTGTGATATCCTACCGTTTATAATATACGATATAGATTTCTTCTTACTTTGAATATACACACATCAAGGAGCTTAATTACTTCATTAAAAAGTCGAATTGATTCAACGATAAATAGATTTTATGTCATATTATAATTTAAGGTCATTTTTATGAAACTGCATAAATTCCAGTAAATGCAGACCATGAAACTATTGTGAAAATTTAATCATAGCCACTATCCAACTTTACTTAAAGATGCTTATGAATTAATGACAATATCGAGGCAATCTGCTGAGAATGCCAAAACAGACTGATCAATTGGAGTTTTTAACATCAATCCTTACGAATGGCATGATTCAACTTGTTTTAATTAATTAGAGATGAAACCTGTGGTAGTATTCCTCGTTGAAACAATAAAAGTTTTGATAGCAATGAGAAGCAAAATCAGAAACCTCACCTGGAACATAACTTCTAACATATAAGAAATACGTTTATCACATTGGCCTTCATTTAAGATACGTCGAAGATGTTCAAAGATTCCATGTACACCTTTTGGTACAAGACGTGAAAGCATTGCACCACATTCTTTAAGAACAGATACTGCCACTTCTACACTGTCATCGGTTGTTTGCTCTAGTAGTAACGTCAATAGTTCCAGGATTATTAATTCATGAACGACTTTTTGGTTGACCAAATGAGCTAGAAATCGTGCGGTAGACAAACATCGATCTTTTTGATTACGTCGAAATGCTTTACGGAATTCATTGATTAATCGTTTAAGAACCAGTTCTCCAACCTGGTAATGGTGATAATAAAAAGACATTTGATAAAGTACTGAATTTCACTACATTTGCATGACAATAATAATAATACACCGAAAGTAAACTATAATTAAGGATGTAATTTTTAATAATTATAGCATGGTTTCTGTTAATTTGCAGTTGTTCATCTACGACCGATTCACCGAAAATTTTCTCCAAAATATTTGGATCTCAAAAAACGACCAATTAGTCTAAAGAAATATTGTTAAATCCAGTCGCTAAAACGAATATCTGCTATAATTAAACAACCGAAAGTAGTTGCTAGATTGATGTTGTGGGCAGGTTTGTATATAGTGATGACCTAGTTGAACTTAGTTGTCTGGAACACTTGTCCCTTTAGGTCCTATTATTCCAGGAAGGTCGGTTGGAGAACAGTAAAACTCAAAGCCGCAACTTAAGACCTCAGGGAAAAGTTATTCCGGTGCTTGGATATGACGACACTAATGTGTTCCCCTCAGAAAACAGCATTTACGAGGTTAGAAAAGGTCAAGCCTAAAAATGGAACACCTAATCTTGCCCGACGGACTCCTATCGCTGGCGTTAGAGCTCTCACAGTACTCAGCTAACACGTCAAGAACCCCCCCGTTAGGACATGTTTGGCCGAAATTAAGAAAATATCACTTGAGATCTGTGATCACATATAAAGGCCGCCAATACTACTAATAAGGCAGTTTCCTTACCGAGTATCTCGAGAAATATTTTCCCACAGAGTGGGTAACCGGGCAGTAAAAACCACCCAGACAATTCATAGGCTGGATTTCAGTCGTTTATGTGCAGTCTGAATAAACCGGACATTGAAAACACTGAAAGATAAGAACAAACGCTGTTACCCCTCTGTCTTCTCCCTCTATGTTCCCATTGACAGCAGTTGCCCCCAAATGCCCTGGTACGGTCGAGAGTGGGGAGAGTCCGCTCTACCTCTCGAAATGCTCTCACATGGCCACGCGAATATATAGCCTTTGCCAGCGAAGTCCTACTCACTGCCTTCTCGTGGCGGGGGTGTTGTTTACGAAAGTGAGAGGATGAAAAGAGAATGTCCGGAGCTTTAACCGGGTTGGTGGACATGGAAAGTCCACCTAGGGGAATTGGAAAACCCTGATTTCAAACCAATGGTGCACATGGGCTGACTCCAGTATCCTGAGGGAACAAATGGCGTATGAATGAATCGTTGGTCACCGGCTAGCATGGAACTGCGTCTCCTTACGATGTTCCACTGCCTTGTGGGTTAGACTTTTAGGTCAAAGGCTCGGGGTGTGGCCCCCTAAGAAAACCACCTGCTTCAGTTTGGGCGCCTGGGCAGTATCACAGCCCTCACACAAATCAAATAAGATTTGTGAGGCGCATATTTATCTGGTGCTTCCTTGTACCAATATTTATGTGTTTAAATAAAAATAATAAAAAATAAATGACAGCAATTTGCATATAGTAAAGGATAAGTTCTACAGAAAGTTTATGTTCTCCTACAAACAGCTAAACACTCAAGCGTCATAACCATAGTAGGAAACTTTAATGCCCAATTATGTTGTTGAAATCAAAGTGAGAAACACTTGGGTGGATTTTAGAGCCCCAGGTCAACAAACAGACAACGGCGACTCTCTACTGCAGACGGGTTCAGGAAATGGTTTAATCCTAGCAAACACTAACTTTAAACATAAACATATCGTCTAATATGGTGACTTCCACGGCAGACTAAAGGAAGGACGCAGATATACCACACTGCCATCGGCCATCGTTCAACAGACTCGATAGAAGAATGCCACTCATTTTAAGACACATGTTTAAGCTCTAATCACGTCATAGTCCGAGCACGTATATGTTTTGGCCTTACCAGATCTTAAATCTTGATTTAAGTTTGTGATAGACATCATGCTTAGCGATCATGCATCGTCCTCTAAATTTTCAGGGATTAATCTACCACTTGACAAACTTACTTATTGACCTTGAATACCCAGATGATATAGGTCTATTTGGCAAAAATGCTGACTTAATACAGAATTTTCTAATTGATTTAAGCAACAATCCAAGTATTATTGGGGTGTGTATTTATTATTTAAACACATATATATTGGTACAAAAGGGCACCAGGTACATATGCGCCACACAAAATAATGAAAGTAGCAAGAGAAGGGATGAAAAGATAAGGCGGACTGAAATGTACAACCAGAAGACTCTTTCAGTTAAGAAAGTTAGAACTATTCTTTATGTAGAAAGTAAAAGAAGGTTGCAGCAGGATCGCCACTGGCTTCTATTCTGAGCCATATCTGATAACGTCTCTAGCCACTGCGTTGCACCATCTCTCGGACCCCAGCCAGGGACTCGTGAAGGACCAACAGAAGCTAGCCCTTTGCAGCTCTCTTTCATGCCACGACACCATGTCACACACTGACCTCCTCTCCGCATTTTCCAACCAGTCCCAGGGTCGGCAAATAATGCACGACGTGGAAGTCTCTGGGACGACATTCGTAAAACATGTCCAAGCCACCGAAGTCGGTGTTTCAAGATGGTGACACCAATTGAATTATCATCTCTGCGCCCGAACACACGATGCCAAACCTCTGCATTACTAACATGGTGTTGCCACTGAATGTCAGCAATCCTTCGGAGACAACGATGATCGAACACAGAGAGACGTCTAACATCCTCAACTCGGAGAGACCAGGTTTCACAAGCATAGAGCAAAACTGCTCTCACCAACGCGTTGTAGATCCGACCTTTTACAGCCAGACTAACATCACGAAGGCGCCAAAGATGGCCCAGATTGGCATAAGCCACTCTGGCTTTCATTATACGTGCATCAATCTCATCACTCACGCCACCACCAGCACTTATATAGCTACCTAGATACACGAACTTCTCAACTACTTCAATCTGCTCACCATCCAGGGTGAGTACAGGATGAGAATCCCGCCAGTCTTGTAGGAGTACTTTGCACTTGGAGGGTGCAAAGCACATGTCGTACCTGAGGACACTGATTGCCAACTGATTAAGTGCTGATTGCATGGCTTGAGCATTATCGCACAGTAAGACAATATCATCCGCCTACTCGAGGTCGAGGAGTCGTTCTCCAGGCAACATATCCACACCGCCATTACTTACATCCATCAGAGCTGTTTCCAGGATGTCGTCGATGGCAAATTTGAAGAGGAATGGTGAGATCGGGCAACCCTGCCTAACCCCACTGCTCGAATGGAACAAGGGAGAAAGGTGGTTGTATGCCCTCACTCTGCCTGAGGTGTTCGTATACAGGGCCTTTAAGATGTTAATGAACTTCTTAGGCACACCCTTCTTCAATAGACAATCCCAGAGAACAGTCCTGTCCAACGAATCGAAGGCCGCCCTGATATTAAGAAACACTACGATTGTTGGCCTGTGATAAGTATGACGGTGTTCTAACATTTGGCGGAGGGTGAAGATGTGTTCAATGCATCCTCGACCAGAACGAAAACCAGCCTGCTCCTCGCGAGTCAATCGTTCTCGGGTTTTAAACAACCTACGAAGAATGACAGAAGCCAATAGTTTGGACGCAATCGGAAGTGGACTTATCCCCCGATAGTTGTTACAGGAACAACGTGAACCCTTTTTAAAGATAGGGACAACTATCGACTCATTCCACGATGTTGGAACACTATCTGACTCTCAAACCCTTGTAAACAACGTAGTCAATTCCTTAGTCAGATAGTCACCACCATCTTTAAAAAGAGCTGGAGGTAAGTCATCTGGGCCCGGTGATTTGTAGCGCTTCAGGAGTTAAAGTTCCTTGCGGACTTCCGCCTCGTTTGGTGGATCAGTCGTCACCGGCCATGGGGGGCAGGGCAAACTGGTTGATGTTGCCGGACCAGCAGGCCAGTTGAACTGCCCTTCGAGAAACTCCGCCCATCGTCCAAGACGTCGAGAGATGTTAGTGATTGGCATCCCATCATCCTCGTAGATTGTTTCACTCACACCAGACTTCTTGCTGCCAGTGGCTCGGATGAGTTGGAAGAGCTTCCGGCAGTTACCAGATGCAGCCGCTGCTTCCATCTCATTAGCACGCTCCGACCACCAGGCTTCTCGGTCCTTACGCAAGCTTTGCCCGATTTCACTACGTAACAGCCTTCGTTTGTGGTCAAACTCACGGTCACCCGGAGTAGACCGACGGACTTCCATCAATTGTAAGGAGCCAGAAGAAACCCAGTGCTTGTAAGCGGGACGTTTCGCGAAGCCGCAAGCGGCTCTACTCGCCGTTTTCATGGCGTCGTGAAGAAGCAACCAATGCTAATCTATACTTTTCGGTGGGATGGTAGCTAGCCTAGAGGCTAGCTCCGCTCGATACTTACTTGCAACAGAAGTTGCAGCCAGTTTACTAACATCAATCCGTTGGTGGTGGTCAATCCTTCGGCCACTAAAAAGTAAGGTGAGATTGGCGCAGACCAGGGCATGATCAGACTCCAGATAGGTACTCCAAAAGGAGCGGCAGTCTTGTACACAACCACGCCAGCGGTAGCTGATCGCGATGTGATCAATCTGAGTCCAGGCTTGAGATGTAGAGGGGGACGCCAGGTGGCACACCGGCGATGACTGTGCCGGAAGTTAGTGCTGGCCAGAAACAGGTTGTGGTCTGTGCACAGTTGCAGCAAACGGTCCCCGTTATCTGTCCTGCGACCAACAAGTCCCCATCGGCCACCTAAACGACTCTCTTCTGTGCCTAGACGCCCGACCTGTGCATTCAAGTCTCCGGCAAGTACTACAATATCTGTCGAACGCGCTTTCTGGAGAAGAACTGTTAACTGATGGTAAAACTCATCCTTGATTGCATCCGGACTGCAATCTGTCGGGGCATAGGCGGAGATGACGAAAAGACACCGTTTCTCACGCCGATTTCTTCTCACTTTGATGGAACTTTCTAATCTAACAGCACAACCGACTGTTAATGGGGATCCAATCGATTAGTGCTGCCTCAGCCCTAGCGCTTAGTACAACACCAACGCCAGCAAGACCAGACGATGATGCCACAGGGTCCCCGGATAAGCGCACGTGGAACAAGCTTTTCGAGGCGACAGATGGAGAGCGAATTTGTAGTACTTCACTAGAGTCTTGAATACGGGTCTCGGATAGACAACAAACATCAACATTAAGACCTTCCAAAGACATAGCCAGCCCTATCTGTTGTCCGATCTGCATTAGTGTGCGAACGTTGAAGGAAGCCAGCTTGAACGGCGTACGTGGTTTCAGAAAGACTACTTCAGTATTCATAATCGGTGGAAGCATTCACTTTCAACCAGACAGTGACTGGAGATCGTTTAGATAGGACAGATTTTTCACCATGGGCGAGCTGCTGCATAAATTGAAAAGTAAGGTTACACAAATTGGGGATAAAAGGGGGTGAGTTGGCGATATGGTAAATAATAATAATGTAAATTGTCTTGCTTTTAATATGAGCAGGGATAGTATCGTCAATAGAGTTCATCATTTCATTTATTTGTGTGTGGGCTGTGATACTGCCCAGGCGCCCAAACTGAAGCAGGTGGTTTTCTTAGGGGGCCACACCCCGAGCCTTTGACCAAAAGGTCTGATCCACAAGGCAGTGGAGCATCGTGAGGAGATGCAGTCCCATGGTAGCCGTTGACCAATGACAGGTTCGTCCGCCATTCGTTCCGTCAGGATACTGGAGCCCATGTGCACCATTGGTTTGTAATCAGGGTTTTCCAACTCCCCTAGGTGGACCCTCCGTGTCCACCAACCCGGTTAAAGCTCCGGACATTCGCTTTTCGTCCTCTCACTTTCGTAAACAACACCCCCGCCACGAGAAGGCAGTGAGTAGGACTTCGCTGGCAGAGGCTATAATATTCGCTGGCCATGTGAGAGCATTTCGATAGGGAGAGTAGACTCTCCCCACTCTCGGCCGTACCAGGGCATTTGGGGGCAAATGAAAAAATTTGCTTCAAGGCTCATCTGTATCATTGCCTAGCTGATCATAAGGAGTGAAGAGGTTGAGCGCGTTGGCTACTTTATTTACCTTGAAAGTCACTCCAGTCTTGGTGGTTGGTGTGACTAAATCTTGAAACGGGTTCAGAAAGGTCGGTTGGTTTTTATGAACTTGCGCCACACAGTAACTTTAAAACCATACGTCAAGATTTATACTGTCTTTTATTTATGGTATGCATCTTTCCTTCTAGAATAAAGTGATTTGATGAAGCTATTCTGTTATTGTGAACGTGGAGCAGCACACAAATGTGCGTTAACTAAAATTTAAAGTCCAGAGATATATTAACAATTAATTTCACATATATAATCTCATAAACTGATAGCATTTTGTTTACCTTGGGAAATTTCGAATTTACAACAGCAACAAGGGCCGAGAAAACATGGGTGAAAGTTGGTGATGCCGATTGTGCGGTTAAAAGGGATCTAACAAATAAACCTCTACCTCTAACAATATTTTCCATGAGTAGTTGTTTGACAACTTCAGATAAGTTGGATACATTCACTTTATTAATAAAACCATGGATGGATTTTTTCAGTGCTTCCCAAGCAATTCGTTGATAGGCCTCAGATGATTTGTCAGTTATCTGGGCTTGCATTTGACGAAGTCGACCAGGGGGAATATATGCACCACCAGTTTTACCAAATATGTTGGTGAACTTGTCAGGATTTTTTGACGAATCATCTTTCTTAGGGTTCTCCGACACAGTGCTACTCTTCTCATTTTCTGGACTATATCTAGCACGTTTAGTCCCACGATCCATTGCGACAATACTTGTTGAAGAACTATATTAAGTTGACTAGGTCCACTATTTTTGTCAGCCTGGTTTTAATGTGAGTTAAGTTACTAAAAAGGCACATACACGACGACGTTAGGTTATGCATAAGACAGGTATATAATGAGTACTTAAACAACCAAAACGGGATTATAACAAGGAATACTTATATATATAAATAAAGAGAAGACAAGGTGCAGGTTGTAACTTGAACTGTTCAAAAGAGTATTCATTATCAGTTCAGAAATAATTTTCCTTAAAGTAGAGTACAGGATAACCCCTTCGCCCTTACTCTGCAACAAAAATGTGCTACAGTTACGTAACCTTAAGAATCCAACATTTGTGTTTATGAATTACTAATGTTGGTATAACATATGAGATTTACGAATGGTGAAAACCAGAGCAGCTTATACCAGTCACAACCATCCTTCGTGTTGTGATGATACCAGTTCGTTCATGTAAGGTAGAATACACAACACATTGTAAGTTTTCCCCCATCTCTGTGAATTCTGGCACTCAGTGGAGAATTATTCATTAGTGTTTCTGAATGATTACTAGTATTTAGTGACAAAATGATGCTAGTAACGCGACATTTCGGCAGTGTTTGGGATCAGTGATAACAATCTGAGCTGTTTTACTACTTTTTATAAAATTAATTTTAGTGGTTAAATCATGTTTCAGGCACATTAGTTTAGCTGCTTCCACATTACCCACTATTAACAAGCTCCCTAAACAAGTAGAAAGAAGTACCTAGTTTATGGTACGTCGCCGTGGCATGATAAACCGTACATTTTTAGCATCTTTCGCTCTATCACAACATCAGTCAGTCAGTCAGCTACAACGTAGGACCAGGCACATTTATGCATCGGTCCAAGTTGCCATACCTCATTAGCACTACAAGATAAACACCGAATTCATAGTAGTTAATTTAGTGTTGGTAGTAGTATATAAATTATAGGTTGTATATAAGGATATAGTACAGGAAGGAAGAGAGATATGAAGCAATTTTAGTCTCAAGGTTTAAGGGAAGATAAAGAGTGTATACACCTACGCCATTGTGATCGATTCTGAGCCATGTCACCTAGAGTCTCCAACCATTGGTTACGATAGTCACACGGACCCCAACCAGGTAGTCTGCATCTGCCAACATGGCTCAGGCTAGAAGTTAGTGACTTCAAACACTGATGCCATGTTTTGGTTTGGCCGCCCCTAACTCTCTTCCAACCGTCCCCAATACTAGTCATCATAGCGCGTCGTGGTAATCGGTGTTCAGGCATATGTAACACATGGCCCAACCATCTCAGTCGATGAAGATTCACAACCTCACCAACTGATTTGCCATCATTCCTTAATACCATATATCTAACCTCACTATTACTTACCCGGTTATCCCAGCAGATGCGAGCAACATTTCTAAGGCATCTGTGGTCAAATACTAGTAATTTACGAGTATCTTCTACTCTTAATGATCATGTTTCACAGCCGTAAAGTAGAACAGAGCGAACTGATGCGCAGTATACTCGTCCCTTAATTGATAGACGGATATCTCGTCTTCGCCATAGGTGACGTAAGTTGGCAAAAGCCAAACGAGCTTTTAGAATCCGTGCTGGGATTTCGTCAGACACCAACCCATTAGGGCTGATCAGACTTCCAAGATAAGTGAAGTTGTCGACGCGTTCGACTACTTTACTACCTATCCTTAGTTCAGGTGTTGACGTAGGCCAGTCCTGGAGTAACATTTTACATTTAGAGAGGGAGAAATGCATCCCAAACATCCTGGCATTATTACTCAGTTCTAACAGAAGACTGCATTTTGCCAGCGTCTTCACCAAACAGGACTATGTCATCTGCGTATTCTAAGTCGATAAGTGGACCTCCTGGTAGGAGATCAATTCCTGAAAATTCAGTCGAAGAGAGTGTTATTTCCAGCAACAGGTCTATAATGAAGTTAAACAAAAACGGGGATAGTGGACAGCCTTGACGGACACCACTTGAAGTTGTAAAATCATATGACAGTTCGCCATAAGCTCTCACTCGACTAATAGTGTTCGAGTAAAGAGCCTTTACAAGGTTTATGTACTTCTCAGGTACACCTTCCAATGACAGACACTGCCACAGAACCTCTCGGTCTACAGAGTCAAATGCTGCTTTCAAGTCAGGAAAAGCTATCATTGCTGGACGCCGATAAACATGTCTGTGCTTTAAAACCTGACGAGTAGCGAATATGTGGTCGATACAGCCACGACTAGGTCGAAAGCCAGCCTGATTTTCTCGTGTTTGCAGTTCACGAGTTTTAGTTAGGCCCCCGATAATTATTGAGGCTAGTATTTTAGATGCTATGTTAGTCAGACTAATCCCTCTATGGTTATCACAGGGTGATTTTGGTCCCTTCTTATATATCGGTTTGGGCACCCGAGCAGTATCACAGCCCTCACTCAAATCAAATGAGATTTGTGTGGTGCATATGTATCCGGTGCTTCTTTGTACCAATATTTATGTTTTTAAATAAATAAATAAATTGAGACAATAAGTGATTGTGACTAGCCAGATGGGATTACGTCCAACTCTCAGATTTCAGCCAAAATATTAGTCAACTTAGTAGCTAAAATTGGACTACCATATTTAAAGACCTCTTGGGCCAATCCATCTGGACCAGCTGCTCTTCCTCGTTTCAGATTACCTATAGCCTTTTGAACTTCAAGTAGGGTCGGGGGGCCTGCTTCAATGTTCCATTCAGGTTTTCTAGGAATAGTGGGTAGTTGTGCAGTAGCTGAAGGCCAGCTAAACTGTTCCTTAAAGTGTTCCGCCCATCGTTGTAAACATCTGGGCTGAGAGCAGATAAGGGTTCCGTCTTTTTCCGAGATTGTCTCACTTACACTTGACTTACTAATTCTGGTTTATTTTATCAATCTGAAGAGTTCCCTGGTGTTACAGCCGCTGCCTTTTCCATCTTGAGTGCTGGTAGAGGTTGGAGTCCCAAAGATAATACGACTCAGCGCTTCGAAGAGCTATTGGGTATGGTTTAAAATAAAACAAATGGGCATCATGTTGCAGTTTTCGACTACATCATTCAGAGACGTGAGATAAGTATCCCAGCTTGAAGAGAACTTCCAAAACTCTCTTAGTAACTGAAGTTTGTTTTATATCGAACATAATTCTTATTTACTTATCGCATATGAATGAGATGGCTTAAAATCGTTTGCGATGGTGAAGGTGCATCCACTCTTTGTGTTCTCCTAAATTCTAGTCTTCTGAATTCTTTATGTCCTTATCTTTTTTTCAAAAATCATTTCACTGTATTATACTCCTTCAACAACATCTTCAGAGCCTAATCTTTCGAATTACTGCTTATTCTTGCTACTTCTACCATTATGGGATTTGAATGGACAACTGCATCTCCGTGCTAATGTGGTATGACAACTCGAACTGATGTACGTGTGTACCAAGTTCTACATTGTTATCGCATGAATTCCAGTTTACTTTTCATTACTACTTCGTTTGCGTGGTGAGACTTTCCCATGCTGTGTCAAAGTCTATATTTGTTATACGTAACTAAGTCCGGATTAAGTTAGTAAAAATATACTGTAAAATTACAACTGTAAGAAGGTACAAATCAATATCCTATCTTCACATAACCAATGTCAATTTAATAACATCAAGTTGTACGACTTTGTGGCTCTAAACAATATGCGAAAAGACTGGTCCACCCAAAAATGAGTAACTCAGTAAGGAATTTGTATCCTATAGTTCGAAATGATCGGTACGTTGCAACAACACTGATTTTAGACAAATAAATGTTGACAAAGTGGGCGTGTCAGAAATACTTTTTAGCGTGAGCTACTGAAGCAAAAACAAGAATGCTAAAATATAAACACTGACAATGGAGGACTACCCTCAATACAATAGATCTAACTGACCCCAAGTACCCAATGTACACATTTATTTGAAATAGCGCTTAACAGGCAACATTCAATACCTTTGTCACGAGCTCGTATAAATCGACTAGTTTCTTTGCGCTGTTTCAGTGTGGTTCCGTGTATTTTTAAGTGTCCAGTGGATGGTAGTCCAGCCACTCTCCTGAACTAACTGAAGTCACTTTGGTAGTTATTTGTGGGTTTGTATATCTTGTAATCTGACTTGGTGCGCTTGTCTAAGGGTAGTAGAGTTTCCGGATACCAACAGCTGTCATGTTACCAGGCAGAAGGTTGATAATTTGCAATGTGAAAAGCAATGAAGTGATAATTCGAGTGCCGAAAGACGATTGTTCCAAGAATAAATAATAATTTACTTAATTAGTGATATGTGAGAAGACGGAATTAAAAGAATGAGAGTGACGATAAGAGAGATAGGAAGTAGTTACTGATGTATAGTGATAATAACCGTTGTCAGTTACGAGACACACATCTAGTCTTACTAATTACAAGCCTTAGGTCACGTTTTGAGGAGATAATCGGGAGTGGATTTCCATGGAGGGTGTAGGTGCTTTGTTTCAAGGGATGTAGAGTATGAATGACATGACATTTTGACAGGTTCAGCTTTAACTCATTATCTGCTGCCATTCTACTACCATTGTGGTGTTTTTTGAGACACATATCGTTTTGCTGTCTGAACAGATTAGTTCTGTCGAGGTAATGTTATCCAAAAGGTCACTAATAATGATCAGGAATAGCAGCGGATCTCGCTTTTTTCCTGATTTCGAGCGATAGCCATATTTCAGTTAGAAATATAATCTTCAGACCTAACTATAAGCACATGTTTCTGATTTTTTTCTTGTTTACCCCTTAGTTCTCTTACGTTGCTATAAATACACCTGACGGTTTGTCACATCTAATGTTACTGAAAGGATTGCTTTACAAACAGTATCAGGCCTGAAGAGCCTCAGTCAAGTCCTCTTAGTTTTTGAAAGTCACTGACATCAGATACGGAGACTTAATGACCGTGGGGTGTAACGGACGATATAGCCTAGACACGTTAATTATCGTAGTGATGTGAGGACCTGTGCTACGTTTTAGCCAAAGCCAATATTTTATGTCATGTTCGTGACCTTGATCTCGACCATCACCTACTAGCTCAGGCACTCCACTGACCACTATACCGTTTGGTTCCTAGATGCTTGTTGATTTTCTACTGGAATCTCTTATAGCCTACGGTTTGTCATACCTAATCTGGACTTCGGAGGGCCGCCCAACCGATGTTATCTGGAATGTCAATAAAATGTCTACTGTAGCTCATGCTTAATCCAAAATTACTCTTAATGTATGAGGTTCATTTTCACTGCTTTTCGTCCCTTCTACGATCAGCACAGTTCTACTTGAGCAGTACTCATTTCAAGACTTGCACAGTATTTGTCCCGCAGTTTATCAAAGGCTGTCCTACATTCTAAAAGGCTAAATCACGACACTGGAACCTTGAGTAAAATCAGGAAGTTTTGTTTAACATCTGTGTTCTCGACGTTCAGTGTCTTTTCAGCTATGTTGTTGCTATTTCCCTTCCCGATCCCCACCCATAGCTCATTACCCTCAACAGATACTGAGGTATTTAAAACAGCCGGTAATTTTGTCGATGTATGACCTCGAGTTGCGTCCCCCGTGATAGCGTGCTTGGTTGGGCCTGTGTTCGACCATTATGATAAACTGGTGAAGATTGGTATGATTGCTTCCATTGGGGTCATATGCACCTCTTTTATCAGTTCGGTTGGTTCGTTTTTCCACAATGTGAATGAATATACCGGGACCACGGGCAGAGGTTCCTTAACAAAAACCCATAGTGCTGCATAGTCACTGCCGTATCACAGACACAGTGACCCCAGCTCCTAAAAAGATCACATCCGAATGCTGAGTACCTGGTTTTAATGAACGATGAGCATGAAATATGATTATCGTTTCCATGTTGTTTCTCCTTATTGGTTATCCCCACAGACACTTTGAGACGCCTTTTCCTCCTATCTCGTTTTAGCCCTGGTTAAGAGCATGATCCTGATTACTTAGTTGCGGATTCAGGTTTTGTGTTTGAGCCGGGCGATCCATGCTATGCACATTATTCTGAGGTCCTTTATCTGGTGTTGTTTTGAGCTTTCTCGTAATCCTGTTGTTAGAAACGGCTTCGACTTATTATTAACCTCTGAATTTAGACCTCTACCTCTGCTAGCCGTTCCAGTAGCTATAGTGTAAGCAATTGTGGTAATGCCACTACTATGAATGCTCACCAGCAGACTAGAATAAAATGCGAGACATCTTAATGAGGAAGTACGCGAAATAAAAGTTTTAGATGAGAGAAATAACAGAGATATATGAATTTATGCTACACGAGAATACAATCTGAAAGACGCTTAAAACTGCGACGTTACCTTGATTGCCCTAGCATACGATTCCACGTGGATCCAGTAACTTATACACAAGTCCTGTCTGGGAAAGTAAGTGTATGTGTGAATGTTGTAATTGAGGCAACTAGGAAGAAGGTAGGTAATTGAGACAGCTAGAACTACAGCAACATGATTTAACCATGCTATGGTCATTGTTTCTAAACTTGTTATTGTGGTTGTCTATTAGCAAAGTAAATGCGAAGCCAGTACCCTTGGAAGCGTTTAAATATTCAAATGTTGGCGGAAAAGTAGGTATTTACGGTTACTGGTGAGAGATCGATGTAGTCATATCAGACTCGAAGATGGCGCCAGTCGACTGCGCTGTTAGTCCTCTTGTTAGTTTTTTTGTGGATTAATATATATCTTGCATTTAGTTTGAATACGTTTTTCTCTGGGTAATAGGGATCCTGGCTACCAGCGTTCATTAAATTACCAGGCAGGAGGTCGGTTGGTTGCAGTACCACCATATCCAACGTGTTTTTAATGAGATAGTCTAGACCAAATGGTTTCTTTTCACCTACTTCTTGTTTTAGGAAAGCTTCAGTCTTTAGTAACTTCCAATGCTGAGTGGATTGGCCTATCGACTGCACGAGTTCAAGTCAATTTGTTAGCTGTTTTGGTTTTTGCGTAACTTGAAACCTGAATGTTCATCTCAAAGCAGTAAGGTTTCTGAAATTAATAGCTAGCATATTAACAGGCAAGAATTTTGTTGGCTGTGGTGTAAAATTTAACAAAAGAAGAAAATTTGAATTCAGAAAAACAAAGAGAATATACTGTTAGTGAGTAGTAAGCGAGTAAGTTAATTATCCAAGAAGATAAAATAAACATAAAAAGGGGTAAAAATAACAGCCAAACAGAGATGACAGGAAGCAGGATAGGAATAGGATGATAGTACGTCATAATAACAGTTGCTGGTGAATTGCGATATATGCATCAAATTCAAATAGTTCTGTACGAAATGGAAGAGGGTTAAGCTCAAGGGGCTTCCGTATCTAGTATCACTGGGTCACCAATTCCTTTAGGTTGAAATCTGCGTATGCTTAGCGATACAAAGAAAAATATTCGGAAATTATGGTGAGATGTTGTCTTGAGTCCCTAGGAATACTTCAAGTTTTTTCTCGAATAACTCCTAGTAAGCTTTTTTCATAGTAGAAAGCATGAGTCAATTGAAGCTAGACCACCATGGAAAACCTGGAAACACTGGAAGGCCGTTTCGTCCTATGAAAATATTGAGATCTCCACAAAACTAGAATATAACGAACCCCATTGTTATTAATATGAATATAACCAAATTACAGAACACATGCTTTATCCTATCCCATTATTCAGTGATTATTAACCATGGCCTTCTGCTCTTAACCTTTACTTTGAGGTTCCGATTCTTTTTAATGGTTGAAGATACATTTTCCCCCCTAAGTGTCATGTCTTTTTTTATTACATGTAGACAGATAACTCACTAATCTTATGTATGCTGACCAACTAAGGCCGATCAATAGAAGCTCAAAATGTCTTAAATTATTGTGAGTTGCTCAATATTTTACTTTTCTTATCCTAGAAATCTTACATTCTTCTACTCTTTCATATCTTTTGATTTCCTTTTAGTTTTAACCATATCTTAACCACATTTAATCTGACCAGTCTCGTAATGTGCATCTAGTAGAGACAGTGTGTCCCAAGTATGGGCTTTGATTAAAGCAATGTTCATACTTATCACAGACGTAGGAGAGCCTAACATCACAAAAGGAGGGAGGATGGCGTTACTGATTAGAAAAAATGATGGTGAGGAGATAAATTCAATCCACCTGTGTCTGTAGAGCAGAACATTTTGCTTAATTACGGTTCCTTATGGTCTAATGGAATATCACGAACCACCGGTAGGGATGCTGATTTATTTATGCAAAAGCGTGTTTAAAACGCTAAATTGTTTTCACTGGACAATTCGCTAAAAGCAAAACCTTCTCAAGACCCTGTAAAGTCTACAAAATAACGGCTGAAATAACTTTGACAAAGAAGAGAGACAGCCATTTGTGTATCAGAATACAGTTTTCAATACTACATTTTATAGCTATACATAGTCCCGTACCTTTATCTTCCCTCTGAACTGCCTTCATTTATACAGTTCCTTATTCACCTGTACTTTGTTTAAACTTACTCTTCTTAGCATGTTAGAATGCCCTTGTTTAATAAGCACCTTAATAACAAATAAATAGACTAAGTAGTCATACCTTATCTATTCCTCCATCAACATTGTCTGTTCTGCTTCTCATCCTTAATTCTTCTTACACCCTTTCTTAGAACCTCAAAATACGCCACCGAAAACAGATATAAAACGGGTGACTTCGCAGATATTCAATATGGATATAAGGTTGCGGTTTCTGGAAGCCCCCTTCTTCACGTGGATCTATTCTGGACCATCAGTTACATGTAGCAACGCTACCCTCATAAGGCGCGCCAATTGTGATACGTTTCTTACTAGAACCAGCTGCATTCACATCTTATAAAATATCAAAACAGCTGAGTAGTTTACTACTGTGAAAATTGTGACTTTTGTAACAATTTGATCTTGCCTGTAAACTGGTATGCCTCATGTAACAAACTGTTATTTGAGAATA